CCCCCCCCCCCCCCCCCCCCCGCATTCCAGGACATCCGGCCCATTGTCCTGGGAAATAATGAAACAATATGGGACCAGGCTCTGGAGAGAAGCCGGTTTCCCACACCATATGGTCAAACTAGAAATGTGAATGCCGGTGACGGAGAATTTCCTGGGCTAAAACCAACGGCAATAAAACACAAATATTCTTTATGCTGCTCCATCTGTTTTAACAAGCAAAATTCCCAAGAAACAAAAACACCACCTAATCGGCAGTGCTGCGAAAAAAGATTGATTATTTCTTCCTCTGATCTTACAGCTGTCCTAAAGAAATGGGATCCCTTTCTTGAGCAGAACTCATCCCATGCTGGGGGCACGCTGTCCCTGCAGCCAGCTCTGGTGGAGGTGTTACTGTGTGGCTCTCAAACCCAGAGCCAGGCAGGCTAGCTTCCAGGTGAGTCGGCTGCCTGAGTCACTTGGCCTTGCTGCATGCTGAGTGACACTGCTCGTCTACAACATGGGAAAAACAATCCTGCTATCCAGCCTGGCTGCCGAGGGAGAAGTGAGAGCACGCTCTGTGAGGGTCGGCTGGGATGAAGCGTTGATTGTGGCTGTCACGGTTTCTGGTCTGATACCAACCAAAGGGCAGGCCCAGGGATCTGGAAACACCTTCAGGTTGTTCCTGGAGACATTCAGGGAATTGAGTGACTTGAAAGAATGAAGGAACAGGGCAGGGAGTTCTGTCAATTTATTGTCAGATAGATCGAGTTCCTGTAGCTTTCGCAAACCAATCCAGTTAGTGGCTAGGGAAAAAAAAAAAAGAAGCATGGATTGGTAAAAACATTCCTATCAAGAAGAAAAGGACGAATCAGGTCAGGTCCCTGAGGACAGAACGTACCACTTTCTTCTTCAAACAATTTTTCTAAACAGTTTTTTGCTGCTGTAAGTTTTTGAAGTTTTGAGAGGTGCAACAATCCGGGCGGGAGGTGGGGCAGCTTGTTGCTGGAAATGTCCATGTCAAGCAGCCTGCGGTTGGGGAAGAAGGAAGTCAAGGCATCAGAATAAAGAGGCAAAGCACCATTTTTCCACCTTTCCCTGTAAACAAGATGGTGTATTTTTTCACCCTGCACAAGGTTAGAGTGTGTGCGCAGAAAATGTGGGACACATGATTTTTATTCATTTGAAAAACTGTTTCTAGGACCTGTATAGGTAAAACAAATATCTCTTTGGTGGGCCCCTACCCTAACACTAACCCTAACACCAAGCCCTGAACCCTAATCCAAATCCCTAACCCCATGTAACCCTAACCCCAACCCTAGCCCTAACCCTAACCCTAATCCTATTGGTCCCGCCAACCAAAAGGGACTCCAATCCTCCCTATGCATGTGATAGCAAAATGCACTGGTGCCCCAGAAGCTGCTGTGACACCACAGTGCAGAGCCTGTCACCTTTCAGACTCGTCTATCGGCCCAGGTTAAGGGATGGTGGCTACCCTTTAAGCTGGTGGTGTGCAAGCTTCCTTCCATTCTACTTGTGAGTCCTCTGAGCTACTCAGACCCAGGCTCCTTCCCACATTCTTCTTTCTTACCGCAGGTAAAGCCTTTGTTTTTGAAATCAGCTCAAACCCTTTATGGAATGAGGCTTTGCAGATCTGCATCCCAAAGAAATCAATTAAATAAGGTCCTTCAGCAGGAAGGCCCAGACCTCATCCCAAGGCCTCCAGAAAAAAACAGGCAGGGGCTGTCTATACTGCCAGAGTCCTGCAGAGTTGACTTTTTCTCTGAGTCCCTTCCCATGTTCCTGGGAGGTGGAGTAAAAGCTGGTGCCTCAGGGTTTCTCTGCACCCACTGTCCTGTGACGATTCTGCGGTCAACATTCGATTCCTGGGCAGGACCCAGACAGGTATCTCCGGCAAGCAGTTCTGCATGGCTGTGGGGGAGCTGTGTGCACTTGGGCCAGACAAGCCATCTCTCAAGACCTGAAGAGGGGGCAGGGACCTTGTTCCCGGGAACTTGCATGAGGGTAGGTTTTAGCCAGAACGTTTGTTCTCAAAAACACAAAAGGCCAAAAATACAAAACCAGAGAGCAATTGCAGGGAGACAGTGGCAGCAGCTGGGGCCCAGACTGCCTGTTCACAGCCCAGGGACCCACCCAGAACAGATGATCTCATCCGATGACTGCACACCGGGCAGTTCCCCCAGGTGGTTGTCCGAGAGGTTCAGTCTCCGGAGGTTGATGAGTCCCCAGGGGATGATGGAGGGGAGGGTCGCCAGGCAGTTGGCAGAAAGGTCAAGCTCCGTGATCTGGCAGGAGATGTCTATGAGCCAGTCCAGATCCACCCAGGGCAGCCTGAGGTGGGACCACTTCACTCGCAGTGCCTGGGGGTGGAGCACAGGGAAAAAGCACATGCCAAGGTGAGCTCAGGCTCTATTCTGCAGGCTTGGAATAGAGCAACGGTCTATTCAGGGGTACACCTGTGTGCCCGACCCAGCTGGAGTCCCAGGAGGTTGGGGCCATGTCCATCTGGTTCCCCAGCACCCACCATGATGTCTGGCAAAGGATACCTGCTCTAATGATCTGCACCTGCATTTTGCAGGTCATCTGTGCACGGCTCCAGCAAGTTACCCTCTGGCCGCCAGAGGGAGATGGTGGGCCACCCCTTAGGAGGCAGATCCCAGGGAGGAAGGAAAAAAAGCCAGAATCGCCCATAGACAGAGGAGGCCCCCGGAAGCTCAGAGGAGCCTCGCAGACTGGAGAAGTAGACTGAGCTGTCTTCAGGGCCCTCTCCCCTGTGAGTCGAGTAGCTGCCCCGGGCAGACGCCTGCACCGTACCAGGGTGCTTGGTGGACGGGCCGCTTCCAGAGTGAGACTGAACATACATAAAGGTCACACAATATATACACGAGAACTCTGACCCACAACTCACAGCAACCTACCCAGGAGACCAACTTCCTTATCTGCAATAACTAGCCCAGGAGGCCAGTCTGCTGGAAGTCAGACTTGGAGGAGGCTAGATTGTTCTTTCTAGTATAATGTCCGCCACAATCAGTTCACAATGGCCAGGACTTGATCAATCACTGACAGATTCCTTAATTTTTGTTCCTGCTTTCAATTTAGGACCAATCAGAGAGAACCAACCATGTGAGCCTACCAAATCTACCAGGCCCTGGCTTCTAGTGAGCCGCCTCCAGCTTCCTGGTGCCAACAGCCCCAGTTAGGGCATGCAGAGGCCTCCCTTCTGCTCCATTGTAAAGCCTTTCCTCTCCTCTGCCTGACTTTGGGTTGCTGTGACATGCAAGTGCTGGTGGCTGACTTTCTTGCTTTAAGAGTCCAGCGTACACAGCCGCTGCTTTTCTCGTGTGGTTGGTCTTTGTTTATTTCCACAAGAGGGAGCCATAAAGGCCAGCGGTTTGCTGGCTTGGGGTGGTCAAAAGGATCTGGTTAAATACACAGGAGCAGGACTTTTCTCTTTCCTCTTGATTGTCAAAGAATTTTGGGTTCAATTAGGTTTCTAGGGAGAGGAAATCTGCTTTTGAGCCTGTTTCTCCAAAGCAACTGGAAATCCATATTGGAAAATTGGAGGAGCAGAAATATAAACAAAAATTCGTGCTTTTCAAGTGGGAAAACATAAACCCAGCAGAGACCGTGGGAAAGGAACCAATAATGTGGGATGTTTGCCTTCAAATGGGCACCCGTTGACAAATGCCCTGGTCTGGCCACTAGATGGCAGTGAGTGCATTGTCTTGATCTCCTCCTGCGCTAACTCCTGGAGCTGGGAAAGGGTGAGTGTGTACACCTGCTCAAATCTCTGGGCGTTGAACAAAGGGAATGAGGGTCTCTCTCTTTCCCTTTCTGTCTGTCTCTCCACTTGTCTGGATGAAGAGGGACGGGCAGTGGCGTGCTGGATCTAGGCTTGAGAAAGTGGAATCTTAGTCTCAGTTGATTTTTTTTTTTTTTGAGTTAGAGTCTCACTCAGCCACCCAGGCTGGAGTGCTGATTTTTTTAAACACAAGTTACTCAGTTGCTCTAGGTCTGTTGTATTGTTAGTTTTTCTCCCTACATATTTTTTTGGAAAAATTTTTTAAAAACTTGAGAAAAGTTGAGTTAGGACACAGTGACTACCCACATGCCCTTTACCTAGACTCAGCAAATGTTACTATGTTGTCATATTTGCTTTCCTTGCTCTCTCTCTCTCCACATGTACATGCACTTTGTGGGTTTTTTTCCTGAGAAATTTTCAAATAAGTTACGTAGCACAACACTTCACCCCTCACTACTTCAGCATGTATCTCTGAAGCACAAGAATATTTTCATACTTGACAACCAAACAATGACCATTTTCAAGAAGTGTAATCTCAATACAGTGTATTGTTAAGTCCATGGTCCACGTTCATGTTTTGCGTCCTGAGCTGGATCCAGTCAAGAATCTCACACCGCTATGAGCTGTCACATCCTTTCACTCTTCTTTCAGCTACCAGAGTCCTCACGCCTTTTCATGGCCTGTTAGACACTGTCATTGCAATTTTTCAAGTCATTCTAGTTGTCTTATAGAATAGCCCACAATCTGAATTCACTCAATTGTTTCCTAAAGCTTAGATTCAAGACAACTATTTTTTGGCAACAACCTCAGAGACAATATCGAGTCTTCCCCACTGAATTCCACCAGGGGCACTGATGTCACCTTCCTGCAGGTGATGCTCTTGGTTAAGGCAGTGTCCTTCAGATGTCCCTTGGAAAGATACATTATACCCTTGTGATGCATAGGCAATCTGTCGGGGGTGAGCTTCTGTGACTACTGTGTGTGCCCATATCCCTTTTTTTTTTTGAGTTGGAGTCTCACTCTGTTGCCCAGACTGGAGTGCAGTGGCCGCTTCCGGCCACCGCAGCCTCAACCTGCTGGGCTCCGGCGATCCTTCTGCCTCAGCCTTCCAAGTAACTGGAACTACAGGCGCGTGATACCACGCCCAGCTAATTTTTTGATTTATTGTAGAGATGAAGTCTCGTCCAGTTGCCCAGGCAGGTCTCGAACCCGTGGGCTCAGGCAATCCACTCACCTCGGCCTCCCAAAGTTCTGGGATTACAGGCTGAGCCACCGAACCCGGCCCCCATATCCTTTTATCCAGTGAGTTTAGCATCCACTGCCAATCCTGGCCTGAGTCAATTAGTACAATGGTGGTTGCAGAGTGGCGATTTCTGAAACTACCATTCTTTCTACATGTATGACCTGGCATTCCGCTGTACAAAAGAGCATGCTCCCTGCCCCTTTAAGTATCACTGTGAACTTGGGGATTCTTTTTTATTCCAACTATTAGGATTCAATATTATCATTCTTTTGATGCCCAAGTCACCCCAAATTTGTCCAGAAGGAGTCCCATCCAAGGGGCTCTTATGTTCCTTCGACATATCCCTACCAGTTTTGGGGTACTTCCTTACTTCCTGGGAAAACAAGATGTTCCAGTCTCCTCTAGTACTTTCCAAGCCCAAGCTCTGATTCTCTCAAACAGAAACTTATATTTAGAAACCAAGATGTAGGTGTTAGTTGTGTCATCACTACTGGTGTGTTGCTGCTTCTCAGCACCTTGATGGGACACAGCTCTTAAAGCTAACATGAGTGCGTTCTGAGGCTGCCAATTCCGATTCAGCCACATTGGGTTTTTCACACTCTCTCCACAATTTTTAAGTGTATAAGTGAATTTCATCAATTTACAGATTACACTTCAACTTGTTATTGCCGATTTTAACCTGTTTAATAAGGGGTTTGCACCAGCCGATGCCTAGGTCACTCCCGGACCCAGGATTTTTTCAGGCTCGTGGTCCTGCAAAGGAGAGTGGCCTCCCAGGGGGAGTCTTGGGGTAAACATGTCAGTCAACCCAGCAAGAAGCTGAGGAAGGCAGAGTCAAAGAAGGCTCTCCAGGGCTTTCCTGGGCTCAAGGAGACACCTCCAGGTCTTGGGAGTAAAGGCCACATGAAGCCAAGGTGTCCCAACTGCAATCCAACTCTCTCCACTCTGTGTGGCCATTATGGTCATTCAATATCGAATGGTTTGGACCCAAACTGAAATGGCATCCAAGTGCAAGGTAAAGAGGAGGCTGGTTTTGGTTTTGACTTTGACAACAAATCTTAGGTGTTTACGGAAACCCTTATAAGTAAAACTCTGTAAGACTGTCAAAAATAAACACAAACAGAAAAGAATCAGATGGTTACTGTGGCATGGACCAAGTACGGCACAAATGATCCAGATGGCCTTGGGCATGGGCTTAGATGTGGCAATCCCAGTGGTGGCAGGTTCCCTCCTGACACCTTCTCCATGCTCCCTGAGCTGGGGCTGCAGACTTGAACTTGGCCTCAGGCTGCTCAGCTAACTCCATGTGAGTTCTGGGCAAGTCGCAGGGGGAGGTGGCACTTTCTCAGGCTCTGTCCAGCTCAGGTCCCTTATAGTACCTCTCACTGATCTATCTGTGCAGCACCGACTAAGCCCACAGTTCATCTCCCTGCTGTGGTAGGCAGAGCTGCCAGTCAGAACCAGGACCACATGGTGCCCCAGGACAGGACCCTGCCTGCTCTCTTTGAGGCTCAGAATCATGCTCACCATGCAGTAGAACACAATCAATGTTGTGCACTGAAGAGAATCAAACCCCAAGACCTGTCATCCGTCCCAACCAAGACCTGCCACCTGTCCAATTCTGCACGCCTCTAACCAGACCAATCCCTCTAAGACATCAAGGTCTGCTCAAAACCCCTTAACTGCCCTGCCCCCCCCCACTGTGCTCTGCCTTCCACAGAACATCAAACTCCTCGCCCTGCAGCTTCTCCCCTTCCCAGTCTGCTCCACTTTTCCAGCTTTATGTCTTCCTGTCTGTCACGACCTTTCCCTGCCCACCTAGAGTAGTCCTCAATCTATAGAGATGCCCTCTGCATTCCTGCTGGCAGGTGGCTTGTGGGATTACTTTGTTCCGGGTAAAAGAATTGGAGGATGGGGCACAGTCCCAGAGCAAGGAATTCAAGGCCAAGGAGAAACTGCCAATCAAAGCACAGAGACTGCCTGTTTATCCCCGAACTGCCGGGCTCAAAGAGTGGGCCAGCACTGACAGGAAGGCTTTGGAGGCCAAGAGGGTGTGGCCTCGCTGTTGGCAACTGACTGACCCATGTGTCCAAGGGGCTGCTGGGGTGCTCTGCGGCTACAGACGCTTCCCTTGGAATGTGGGTTGTCATGGCGACAGAAGGGGCCAAGATGGGAGGACAGCGTGGGAAATACGATATGGGCCTGGGCTAAGAGAGTTTCACAAACACTTCTGAGAGCTGGCCTGCTCTTGATGGTGGTGTTGTGAGGTCAGTAAAGACCCTAGGATTCTGCAAGTGGGCTGGTCTCTATTCACA